GCTGTTTAGAGAAAATGCCAGGAGAAAACACACACACACACACACACACACACACACACAGAAAAAGCGCAGAAATAATTTTAAATCACCTGTAAACGTACCACTGAGACAACTGCCGCAAAAGTAGGGTGATATTCCTTCCAGTCTCATACATTTGTTTTTCGTGTTGATTGCTGTTTTAACTTGTTTAAAGTCATACAGATAGAAAGTGTGCGGTTTGGTCAGACCCTTCCTCTGTCCCCCCACCACCCTCAAAGCCTCCTAGTGCTGCAGCAAGCCCCCACCCCAAGCCCGCTTCCTCTCTGGGCCGCAGCCTCTGCCCTCAGACAATGAGTGCTCCACTTTCCGCCGCTGAATGGTGAATGGCCCCGTGTTCTCATTATTTTCCCACTCCAGGGATTCTTCCGAGTTCCCATAACAACCTGGCCAGTTTCCATCTCATCTGACACGGTCATCAAAGGGAGGCCTCCTGCCACAAGAGTGGGTTCCCAAGAGCTCTCATCTTGGCATGGGTGGAGGGAGAACTAAATCCAAAGTTCCTGAAGACAGAGCTGAGAATCCAGGACTGAAGGGAGCTAGAACGCGCTCTTCTGCTTCCCGGCCTTCCTCGCCCTCAGCCAGGCCCCCTGTCAGAGGAGGAAGGCCTTGGGCTCCAGGCTACCCTGGGACAGACAGGTGCCTCAGCCACTTATCTTAGGTCCCTGAGGGCTGGCTGCTGTGGGGCTGGTCTCCCCACAGAGAAAGGGTCAGTTTTCAGGAGACTTGAGAGATAGGAGTCAACCCTCCTCTCATGCCTCTGCATTGTGGGGCTTGGCGGAAAGCCCTGGGCAGTGAGGGGCGGGAACGCTGGAGGCCAGTGGGAGGGTGAACTTTGCAGAAAGTCTGCTCAACCAGGAACAGGCGGCCAGGCCCTGAATGCAGACGGGTGAGGAGCCCAGCCGGCTGGAGAGAAGACTGGAGCTCTTCTCCAGGGCCTATGGGGGCCAGGGGCATGGATGGACAGGTTGCTGCTTCCCAGACTCCCTCACAGCCTGCCTGCCTCTGGCTCACTTGCCAGAAAGTGTCACCGTGAGGTGTCTCCTAGTATTTGACAGGGAGCAGAAGGCCCCTCGGGAAATGCTGGCGCCTGGGAGGCCTGCTCCAGGGGCAGGGAACTTGGACAGAGGAGAATCCTGGCCCCAAATCCCCAGAGGAAGAAGGAAGCAAAGGGACAGGCATGGAGTGTTAGGGTGGTGGACATAGAGGGGGGAGACCAGGCCAGACAGGAATGGGGACAGAGGGACACAGGACAGGAAGGGCACAGAAAGGAAAGCTGGGGGAGTCATCAGGAGGAAAACTCATCTGTTTAGGGGGGCAGAGAGGGTAGCCTAGCACACCCCAAACTCAATGCAGACTGAGTATAATCCCTGCATGGTTAAGGGAGGATGGCAAACTGATATAAACGTTTAACGGAGAATAATATCTAATATATTAAATAGATGATGGAAGTGACAGCATCTGGCCAGGATGTGAGAAAAGCCCAGAAATATCTCACCCTCCTTTGGGTAAAGGGCCCCTCCATTCTCCAGTTGGTACCTCCATGTTCCCACCTCCTGACTTTGCCCATACAATTCACTTCACCAAGACACCTTTCCTCCCCAAGTCCGTCACCAACCCCCTCCATCCTTCCAGGCTCACTTCTCCAGGAATCTTCCAGAAACGTCCCCTCCTGTGAACAGTCAGAGAGCCCTGGGCTTGCCCTCTCTGAGGTGCCTGACCACTTCCTGCCTGTGTGTTTGCATTACCTGTCAGAGATTGCCAAGTGCAGGCAGCAGGGGCCTGGTTTTAGGTATCTCCGTAGAACCCCGGGGCATGCCCAACCCAGCCCAGCCCATCACCAACCCAGGGCCACATATAATATGCGTTTAACAAAAATGCATGACTGAGGCTTTGAGAGGGAGACGCAAAGGGCATGGTCAGGGTTAGGAATCCAGGCTCTACAGCAGTGGTTCTCAACCTTGGCTGCACATTAGAATCACCTGGGAATCTTTTTAAAATCCTGATTTCTGGGCCTCATCTATCCAGCTACCCCACGAACTATAAAAACAATCGTGGCCTCCAGTCTGAATACCCTTCTCTTGGGAATTGATTCTAAAAAATAAGTTTAGCACAGATGAAAGTGGCATGCCTGAGACTTTTTTTGGGGGGGAGGGGATCACAAAAGACAGTAACAACCTATCTGTTATACCTATCAGTCTAGTGATAATGGTTAGCTATACTCAGAGGATGGGGCCCAGAAATCAGGATTTTAAAACAATTCCCAGGTGATTCTAAAGTGCAGCCAAGGTTGAGAACCACTGCTCTACAGTGTCAGACCCAAGT